AAATAAATAAATAAATAAATAAATAAATAAAAGTAGCTGTACGTTGAATATATCTATATGACAGAAAACTGTTGTCTAACTATGGGTGCAACTGGATAGACCATCGATCTAACTCTGCGGGGGATTCTCCCTAAGTGCAATCACTGTACTCGGCTTAAATATCTGACATGCCTTCTTGAGTTGGGTAATTAACTAATTAACTAACTACAGAAGGAGGCGTGTCAGAAAAATTAAGCTGATTACACTGAATGTACTTTATCAAGAATCCCCAGCAGAGTAACGTTGATCCAGTTGAAACGATGTTGGAATCTGAACGTGGTCTATGATCCAAACCCAGCTTGTAGTAATTCAATAATAAAGAAAACCTATGGTCTAAAGTAATGTATATTTCCTATAACGAAAAAACATTCCCTCATGACTTCCTCTAGGATCAAAGTTCACTAAATTATCGGTTGTTAAGTTGAGGTCCAATCTAGACTTTAAAAAAGGGTTTCTTTGTGAAGTTTCTTTGGTTGTCAGCCATATGGATTAATTACGTTTTCACGTGGGCAGATATACAGCCAGCCGAGAGACCTCCCACCCTCCCTCTCCATAATGTTTAAACGGAACCATTATATTATTTTCTTACCAAACTTTTTGCTGATATTTCATGTCAGCGGCCTGAATATAAATTACAACACTGCAGGGTTGGCAAGTTTATAATCATCTTTAAATTGAAGTTAATCACGAGAGAAGGGATTAAAATTTGAAGCAAGTCTCCTCGAACCAATACGTACAAATAACAGATTGTCCACCAGGGAAAGTTTGGTAAGAAAATAAATACTAATGGCGATGCAAGAATGACAGATACGTCTCGGACTCGTGTGATACAATTTGGTGTTTGATCATTCCCATGTAATATTATATTGATATACTTATATTACCACATCAAGGGTAGAAGGCTCGGGTCAGCCCTAGGCTTGAACGTTATTTACCCTCAGTTCAATGTATTCATGTTGAGAGCGATATAGGCCGAAATATACATGTCTAATAACTACGTATTTTTTTTAATTAAAATAGATAACCTATATATAACATATATAACATATATAACAATACGAATATATTCTGGTACAGTGCGCCGTCAAAAGAATCTTCAGTCCAAGTTTCAATATACCCATATATATATTATGTTGATTAAGTAATTTAATTAAAGGCCACGTCACAATTAATGTGCGGTACGCAGGTTCCCATATACCCCATTAAGCAGGGTTATTATATGATATTCAGTTACTTATAATAACTTATAGTAACTGGCTCGAGCTGCCAGTAATTACGCCGCGGGATATTCAGGGCACAGACCGTGATCATAAGACATACCGCAAATAGAAAACAGAATTTAGAAAATAGACATTGCATGTGAATGAAGCCTAACTGCCGTACTGGAGTCTGTTTTTATTCGATAACACCTCCACCCTCCCACCCCCCCCCCCCCCCCCCCCCCCCCCGCCCGGCTCCTTCTTCCCTACCCCTGTCCCAGTTCTGTATGAAATTTCTAAAGGAAGATTACAGACGGAATGACACTGAAGGAACATTCAAGTACATCATTTGATATATTTATTATTTCCTGGTGTTTCATGTTTGACAATGTAAAAAATTCTATCAACCATGTAAGAGACCATTCCCACAGATATTTGGATTGATCTATCTCCCTGGGCAGTCTCACTAAATTGCTGTCAACTTGACCGGCTTAAATGTCTGTCACGCCTAGAAAAACCGTTAGGGGGTAATTATCGTGATTCGGTAGGCGTGACAGACATATAAGCCGGTTATTTTTGATAGCAATTTAGTGAGACTCCCCAGGGAGAAAGGTCGATCCAATTGGATCGATCTAGGCATGGGAACCCAGTCTAACACCCCATTTCCATAGATTAGATCGACCTAACTCCCTGGGGGTTCACGCTAAATAGCTGTCAGCCGGGCGGAAACGAAAGTTAATTACCTCCTTACAGCTTGTAGTAGGCGGGACGGACATTTAAGCCGGATTATCTGAAAATAATCTAGTGAGATTCCCCGCGGGGATAGATCGATCTAAAACCTATGGGAATATAGCCTTACTCTATTGGTGTACGTACATGCACCAGTAGGAGGCAGGGCTTAACCAGACCTTTGAAAATTGTCTGCACAGATTTTCAGATTCCCTGGTAAATCTATAGTAAATGTACAGATGAGGGCAGCCTAATCTATGCATGTATATCCCAGATATTATTGCTTAGTTCTCACTAGTAATTAAATCATCACCTACAATTAAAAATATCCCTGCGATTTGATTAGCCGGTTATTTTTGAAAGTTATTTTTAATAAATTTCCAGCATATAATTTCACCCAGATCGGTATATTTATTTAACTATAGGGGCTTACTGAAACATAAACTTAGGGCACTGTGCGAAGTGCAGATTATGCCTGCTTGCATGCATCGAGTTAAATATTGAGTATATTAACTGTGCGGTGCTTTGGTTAAATGTGAAACACTGATCGTGACGGCGAATAGATTTTTCGCCGTGTTGGAGAAACAGTAATAATTCATTGGAAAGATATAATAAAGATATAATAATATATTTCAATTACACTCTGAACTAGAGGATCAGAGAGGCCATACCGCCTCTGGATATTGCACCACCAGCTGGAGTAAGCGCATTCGTATGGAAAACAAAAAAAAGGAACACTACCACCAGTCTTGTGCTTGACAAGCTCTTTAAAATATGCAAAAAAAATGTAAAAAAAAAAGTACCTGTAAAAATGGTCCAATCAAGCCGATTTTCTAGACAACAGGCCTATGACTTTTCCTTGAAATGTGTTACCAGTGTTGCATATATGCTGACAAAAGAGAAAACCTGGGGGCAACACTGGGCATATCTTTGCTATGAGGAGCAAGGAAGGAATGTGAAAACCCGTAACGGATGTGTTGTAAGACTGTAGGATGCGTAAGACCAGATGAAAACGAGGAGTTGAATAGTGACTTCCAACTGGGTATTTCTACAAGAGTGATCTTTAAACTGCGCATTCTGTTGTTGTGTGCCAGGGTGGTCTGCGCCGTTAAATGTGAGAAAATAAACCTTGTTTTGTTGATATCTGTTCTGATTAACTTGAAAGTAAGTTACTAATGCAAAAGTGTGGGATAACTGTGAGTGAGAAAGCCGAGGGTTTGTGATCGTAAGTAGGTTTTTCCTCACCTCTAGTCATCTGGCTCCATTGGCTAGTTGTGAATTACTAGGAAAAGAAGTGGATGGACTAGTGTTTTGATATTCCTGTCCTTTGAGTTGAAATAGCTGAGCATGAAAAGGGGGTATGTTAACACCAGGCCCGCTTTATGATACCTTAAGTTTGAAAACTACCGGGTATGAACGACCTGGAAACAGCGTTGACAGATTTTTCGCATCAGATTTCTTACCTTCCTCCTTCTCGTGACTCTTTTCTTTTACTTTCTACCTCTCTTTCTTTGGGTTGACTTCACGAGTTGACACCTCGGAAACTGGACATATTCTGCTTACGGTCCCTCTTCTGTGTTTATATCACGTGGCATGAGCCAATGGTCCCATTGGCTGGTCGAATTGATTGGCACTGGCTACCAGTAGTGCTTTGTACCTACCCCATATTGTGTAATCTCCATGCTCGTTGGTGCCAGTCAGGCGGATGTACATCTGTACAATCTTTTGCGCGCTTGTTAAAGAACGGCCCCCGAATACGTTTGATTACAAACTAATTTATCTCATGCAAACGATAAATTTGTTTTTAGTCCTCCTGGAAATTATACAACGTGCAGGACATACCGGTACTGGTTTCGGTTAAATCACAACTTGTGGCTGACATTCCGTTCATCAAAGTACACAGGTACATTGGTGATTTTAATCAAAATTTAATTAAAATTTGTTTCCAAAATGTATCAATTCTTAAATGCCGTTCACATTGCTTCGAATGAACTTAACATACAGGCTTAAGAGTCCTTGGCATACAATGAACGAAGTCGGCCACGTGATTAAGTTGCGTCTTGGACAAACGACTGGTAGACCCCATTCCCATACCTATATCGATCTAGCGGGATCAGTCCATCTCCGTGGGGATCCTCGCTAAATATCAGTCAGATCTAAGATCTAATAAACGGTATAATTATTAGATCCTATTTCAGATTAACTGATTACATGCTCAGTATTACGGCCTCTCTCAGCCGACGAGTGTTGCCTACAATTAAAACTCCTAAGCTGGGGGAGATATATCAGGCCCCTGGGTGTCTCACTTTGTTAAAAGCTGGACCAAGTCTGAATTAATTTAATTTTTAAAAACGGTTATGGCAACCAGAAACCAGGGCCGTTTTTCAAAAAAATTTACGAACCTGGCGACTAGAAACTAGCTTCGTTTTCAAAAAAAGATTTTGGCAACCAGAAACTAGTGTCGTTTTTCGAAAACGATCTTGACGCTGAGAAACCAGAATAGTTTTTGCAGTGAAAGCAAGAGTAGACGGAGGAAAAGGCGACAAGGGAGCAGAGTCTGCTGCAATTAGACAATGCAACCTTCACTGTGGAAGCCGGACAGGGTGTTGCGTTTTCTTTCTGCCTTGCGGGGAGGGCAAAACGACCTCGCCGATAGGTGTCTACGGCGTAGAGGTAGCTTTCACAGTGAAAGCTGTGCCTAATCTTACTCTCTTCGCGCCGTGTAGTGAGACCGAGACGACCGGCCATCGAATCTATGGCGTACGTGCCATGTTCACTGTACTAGCCATTCTGACTACCCGCTCTAGGCCTACATGTACAATGAACCAAGTCGGCTAAAGTCGGTTTAAGCCTTAGTGAAGCAAGTCTCTTGTTTATCATTTTAACGAGAAGGGAACCCCTGCGATGAAAACCACAAGTGTATTATATAAAACACTAATTTATTGGTATTATGTTTAAATTAAAGTATGCTCTTCATGATTTTTCATGAGGTAACATCAGCGATGACGTCAATTTCTGCCATTTTTGTTTAAAACAAAAGGATAAATAATCAAACCATAGCTTTTCCTATTGTTGCAATAAGTGAAAGACGTTGAAAGGCCTACCATCACCATTCAGTGAAATGTCTCAATTTGGAAATAAAATCATCTCCCTTCATTGGAATAATGTTTATATTCAAAGACTGATAGAAAATTCTTTGTACTAAGGTCCAATCACGTGATGTTCGAGTCACGCCACACCGAGGTTCTGTTTCGTTCGGTCAACCACGGGTAGTTCCGAAGATTACCGAGGAGCGGAACAACCCGAGGAGTTCCGAATGCCATCGTCTTTTTCCGTCTGTCTACTTTTCGTTCACTGCCTGTTCTTCCGGCAGTGGGATCCGTTTGTACTCTGGCCTGCAGACTAAATATACCACACACAGTCCTGCAGATACCATTACCAAGCAAATGAAGTTCACCAGGACCGCCTCTTTGCCTTTCTTGCTGTAGTCTTCCCTGAAAACATGCATTACAACACAATGGGAAATTTTTCATATGACTTGAACTTGCAATGTTCTAAAATAATAATATTGACGTCAAATGGTCAGACCATTTCCAGCCAAGCAGTCGCCCAGCAGTTATACGGAAAGTGCGTTTTAGACAGTAAACTGCAAGGTGGGAAACTATCATTTCAGATGTGGATGATGACGTCTTTTAAGTTTCGTAGATCAACATGTCTACCTGTATGTTTTAGCTTCGAAGAAAATGTAAAATATTTTCCATTATCCTCAATTGCATTTTAATTGTGGACATTCTAGAACAAAATATTTGCAAAACTCAATTTTTCAATGTGGTCCTACATGTACTCTAGTTTCTGGTACCTGAACTCCTATAGTTATTAATAGAATTTTCACCGAACGTCCGAGACCCCGAACAACAAAACAGCACAAACACGTCTTTACAACACCTATGTAGATAGGCTACATTTACTTACACACTAAATATGATTTTCTCCACCATTCCCATCAGTGATGTGGCTATAGCCAACCCATACACGGCAACGCCCCAGTACCGATGTAGAGGCATCAGCATCTCGCGGCCATTTTGGCCCAACTTGGGATACATAAAAGCCACGAAGCCAAATATATACTGAAAATAAAGAGGGTTAAATTGGTTTTTGTTGTCTCATGTTAGAAGGTTGTTAAAAAAGGGAAATCTCTGAAATGACTGAAAGTGTTTTTACCTCTTAGCCATGTTTCGATCCATAAAACGACCGTGATCACGTGACGGATTCTTCGATTTGAGCTCTAGAAATTAGATTGTCATTCTAGAAGGGGAAGTTAAAGGGGCGTAGATCTATTTATTTATGTATTATTTTTTAAAATTCATTTGTTTGTTTGTTGTTTGCCGTGGGGCCCTCATATTCTGTCTCAGAATCAGTTATGTTAAAGTTAGGTTTCCTTTCCAACGGATATATTCTGAAAAGTTAGTAACGTACCGCATTCAGCGCGTTCTGCACAAAAAAAAATGATTGTGAATTAAATGGAAAACAAGCAGTACACGTACACGCGCACTCTACCGTTATCTCATCTCCGTCAACTAATAATCGCCCTGTATTCCCGCCAACTGCACGAGCTGACTCTGTATTCAGACCACGTGCTTGGCCAAGCTGAGGACGTCTGCACCAAAATGTCTGAATCTGTGAGTGTGAATGTAAAGACATTCCCTTTGTACGTTCACGTGTACTTACTTATTTTGACTGCCTATAGTTATCAATACGTACACGTATCCTGAAATCCAAAGCTTGTTTTCTACTACATGCAAATAGTTTTTATCGCAATCTTGTTGATATCTTAATCCACTTGTGGCCTTCGAATTCTGACAAGCCGACCAAACTTGCAGCTATCGTTTAAATTTCCAGCGGTGATCGGACGACATAACATGGTGCCGGCAAGAGACCATTCCCAGAGACTATCGTACTAATTTTGAATCGAACAATCTACACGGGGTTTCTCGCTCAATTGCTTTCAGCTTATGTGGCTTAGATGTCTGTCACGCCTACTGACGCTGATAGGGGGTAATTAACTTTCGTATAGCAGCTTTAGCAGGCGTGTCAGACATCTAAGCCACATAGGCTGAAAGCAATTGAGCGAGAAACCCTGTGCAGATGGACCAATCCTGTCAGATCGATCCAGGTATATGGGAACCCAGTCTCACACGCCCTCGCCTTCCTCTTGTCCAAATGCCTAGGGCGTTGTTAAAGATAGAAGGGTGTGCCTCTGTTATGGCCTGCTCAAAATAACACCCCTATCTTCATTGGACGCATTAAAGCATTTTGATCCCCTCCCAAACTACCACCAGCAAAAAATAAAAATGATATCGAATAAAAAAGCGATTTCACGCTGGGGTGATCGAAGTGTCTACTTCTTACGTTAGGAGGCAAGCAACCACGGGAACGCAGCCTCAAAACCAGTGCCACATCCTCACGGCCTCTTTAATTGTTTATACTAGGTTTACAAACAAATGCTCAAATTAGGTCAACGGGTGTGAATTAGGTCAAGTTATGGCAGGTGCTTTCAAAGTCCACGTGCGACCAAATACTGGATGTTATCACGAAGTTATGTCAACCGTCAAATGTTAACACCCGGGCTTACAGTTTTTTTCCGTCTTCTCGTCCATTTTTTTTATGTTCTACGTTTGATCGTTTCAAGTTTGTATATTTGCTTGCACGTCTATCTTTTGGATGATTGAGAAATTGATTCTGAGTTTGTCTACTTAAAAGTAAAACCACCCGCACGAAAACGAAGTAGATACTCCACCGCAGTAGACTACTGCAATCATACTGCAAACATGCTTCAAATCTGCTTCGATGTGGGAGCTAATTAGCATATTTGAAACATGCTTCTATCATGCTGCTAATCTACTGCATTAATGCTCCTCCTCTGTACAACCCTATGTAATTATTGAAGTAGAATTGCAGTAGGCTATACTGCATTTCTACTGCAAATATGCTCCACACCACTACTGCGTTAATGCTTCTTTGCTACTTCGATACTACTGCATTTTCTTGCGGGCAACTCGATAAAACCCATTTTTGAGAGAGTGAGCTTACCGAGTGTGTGTGTGTGTGTGTGTGTGTGTGTGTGCGTACATGTCAGAGAGAGAGAGAGAGAGAGACCACGGTATTTACCTGCAACCCAAACAGTATAATGGTCGCTAGCCCTAGCCAGCTGTGAATACTGTACAGGTTGGCAATAAAATTGTACTGGACCAGGTTGTGGGAGTCAAATACCGCCTTCAGCCCCACTATGATGAAGATGACGGCAATGGCCTGCACGGAGGCGTGGACCACTTTGGTGTAGATCTTCTTTTGATTTCGGAACACCCTGTACACCAGAATACCTGGGATAGAGGGTTGATACAAACATGATCAGATTTATTGAATTAATGATATTATTCAGGTTGATTTTCAATGCGCTACTGTGCGAGTGAATATTTAATTACAAGGTTTGTCATTCTTATATGTTTAGACTGTATACATGTATATAAGACTACCTGCATTAGAATGCTTCTTAATTTGTACCACGGATGCGATGGTTTAAGCGATTCAGCGATCTCAAAGAGCTGTCCTCAAACATAGTTGTACTGCACCAGTTGGTGACCATTTTGGCTTTCCTCTAATTCCAGCACGATTTTAATCTGACCAAAATGCTCTGTGCGTCAAAATTGACTGAAATAGCGCCTTACCCTCTCCATACATAAACACCAGCCCCATCACCATGAAGAGAGGGTGGTAGTTGAACTCGACCTGGGGATTCTCCGTCCACGCGAACCCCTTTTGGTATTTGTAAAGCCACACTCCCAACATTACCACAAATGCCACCCCCAGAGCTTGCGACAAGGCGAAGATGAGCCAGAAATATGTGAATGAGGACGCTGGCGGCCGGGGCCGGGTATTGAGCTCTGTGCTGTAGTCCATTCTGACGGATGAAGGTTTGAGGACGATTTCTCTGAAATGATGCAGGTAAACAGGACTTGAGGTGATTGTGATTGAGTTAATTGTTCTTCGGGAAATAAAGAAACAGAGAGGTAAATTATTATTATTTTAATGTGGCTCGAACGATCTTATTATATGCAATCTCTACAGTCCTCGAGCTCCTTATTACGAGAAGCTCACCGTAACAAGCCAGTCTAATCCCTGCATTGTACCACCCTGCACATATCACAAAAAAATATGTACAAAATAAGTGTTCAAGTTATTTTCTGATATACTGTTATCAATCTATATTTCAACAGACATATATACCAGAGCAAGGATAATGTATATAGACGGCGCGAAAATAGACGGGTTTCCCAAGCTAGGTTACAGACATTGCGATCAGGTGGCCTCCCTAAATTATGTCAACCTAATCTGATTGAGAACGCACCCCTGAACCCCCCCCCCCCCCCCAATCCACCGCCAACTCGGTCCCTAAACAATACCAACGCGTGAACCCTTGGCCTAGTAAACATGAGAAGAGGACAGTTAATCTAATGATGAACCGCCTGGGAGTGATAACATAACACAAATACTTCAAAGACTGGTTCCTTATCTAACCCATTGTAGGCCTACGGCACTGGGGCACGTTCACACGGTCGCCTGATTGCAGTTCAGTTGTGCATTTCTGATCTGGCTCGGCACGGCCGGTGTGACAGGTATGGTAGTCCGCTAAGAACCGCTGTCCGATCCCCGTTAATTTCTACAGCTGACATTCGTCCCATATACCCCGGGGGTACAAAACCCAATACTCTGGCTAACCCTAACCTGCACAAAATATATGGGAGCCCGGACTTATATTCCTACGACATCCATTGCTGTCAAACTGAGACAATTCAGCACGATATCCCCTCCATGTATATTAGGACATACTTCGATGGTTGCTTAAGATGCAGGAAAAAAAATTTAAACGATTGACAACTCTTTGACCACGTGCTTTTTATTCATTTTTAAAGTATATCTCAACATTGACTCAAACGTCATGAAATGTAATCAAGCTATTATTTTCGGTATGTTTCACCCAGTGTGCCCTCATATGCTTGTACTTAAAAACGCCACGTGGGTAGCCGATGCTTATGCTGACAGAAGGCGTGTTTACACTGAAAATAGCTCTGCCCTGCTCGGTTCAACGATTCTCTGCGTGTCGCTCCCTTTGTGTGCGTATGTGTGCGTGTGTATGCGTGCACGTATACCCAAACTCTTCCAATTACTCCATATGTCATGCAGACTGATATAACGGGATGAACTGAAAAGATGTTATCTGTCTTCATCCGTACTATTTGAAGAACAGTTGATGATTAACTCGTCCCCTCCGCCACGGTGTAAGCCTCTAACTGTGTATTGCCGCTTTGTGGACTCATTTCTCTATGGCCGCATTCAGAACAACGGACTAACTAGTTTACGTGTCAGATCGCATTCACAACGAGTTGAGACAGGCTTTACAAATCCTGGGGACTAAATATGGCGGACGTACATGAAAGAAAAACCGCCTAATCTTTTAATAGTCTCTCCGCCTCTCACACGCCTCCCCACACGTCGTCCCTGCGGGGGGACAGTTATTAAATCTCGGCTCCATTGGGACGACACAACTCGTTGTGAATGCGATCTCAGATATGTCCGACCCACATGAATACTTCCAAGCGGGAAATCTATTCAGTGTCTATTAGCAGATTAGACGGCAAGTTTTGTGTGGGTCGCCATATTTGACCCACGGACTAGTTAGTCCACTGTTCACTATTCTGGATGCGGCCATTGTCTATGCCTACCCAGTGTTTAAGTTCTAGGAGATATTTGCTCCCTTTACGATATTCTATAATCGTCGAAAATGCCCAAAAGTCATGTAATCTTTGTCACAACGACCCGCAGAGATACTGAGCTCTCACAGTTCAGGCTTTTAAGCTTTTAAGTTTTTAAAAATACTATAAAAAGTACCTGGCGTCGGTTGTATCTTCTGAAATGTGCAGGAAAGTAGAGAGGTGAAAACATCTGGCCAGTCAATTAGCACTGTGTTATCTAATTATTTAATTAGGAAGAACATAAACCTAGAGTCCAGGGTCCAGGTGCAGGGATGGATCGAGAAATGATTCAGAAGCCGGAGGTGAAGTCCCAAGTATTGGGACGAAAGCCTTCCAGGTATGCTTTTACCTTGTGCAGAAATGAAACAGTTTTAGAGTTCGTCATGAAGAATAAAGAAAATTGTTCTTCAATCAACAGCTAAATAATGAGTTTGTTTACCTCCAATATTTTGATGTCTGCCAGGTGATTATTAAATTTTACCAGTTGCTTTTCAGTGTTTTCTAGCCTTGATGAAGATGCTTGAACTGGCAGTGGAGGCAAACAATTTCAATATTTAACACAGCTGATGACATTCTTTTCTGACAGGAGAGAAAAATTGTTTTTCTCGAGAAAAATCCTGATAGGGTATTTTACACACCTTCACCATTACCGATAGGACATTTCCAGAAATATAGTTGTACTACATCGTAGGAAATTCTCACTCACCATCTTTCACTTACGCTCCCTTACAGAAGTAACCTAACACTCTCACGATCGATCCCAGATTCGATGGTCTAAATCTTCACGTAAGTGTGTGCGACAGAAACCAAGTCAACCACAAGGATAAATCAACGTAATGCTGCTTTATTCAACAACTGACCAAGATGCGTTACAAACACTCGCTTTTATACTACTTTCTTTTATCGCTACGATCTTATGTGGATTTTCTGCTGCAGGCCCGGGACCTACCAGCGCGCCAAAAGTTAATTGTTTCTAATTACATAATTACGTTGTCGGGAGCGTCTTTGGCTTCGTTCACATGGAATGTCTATTTTCTAAAAATCTATTTTCTATTCGCGCTATCTTATGATCACGGTCTGTGCCCTGAATATCCCGCCGCGTAATTACTGGCAGCGCGAGCCAGTTACTTATAGTATCTTAAGTAACTGGCTCGCGCTGCCAGTAATTACGCCGCGGGATATTCAGGGCACAGACCGTGATCATAAGACATACCGCGAATAGAAAATAGAATTTAGAAAATAGACATTGCATGTGAATGAAGCCTTTTGGATCTCCAGGCGCTCCCGACATAGTGACGGACATGCCGTGTAATGTGTGTGTGTGTGTACTGGGTATGTGTGTGTGACTACGGACAGTAGGCCTATTATAAATGTACAGACAAGCACAGAAAATACATTCTTAGTTAAGTTGCCATATAAACGATTTTATCTGCGCTTAACTAGCACTGCATAAACTGCTTATAGCGGCAATTCTCTCTCTCTCTCTCTTTCTCTCTCTCTCTCCACATACTAGCCATCATATAAATGAACCATCCTTCTGAAGTCTTCACATTCTTCTTAATGTCAAAACGTAATCACATTGCAATTACTGCTTAAAATCAACATAATCGTGTGCCCTTGTTGAAAAATTACAAGGAAAATGCGTGCCAAAATGGGATTTCTTGATAGGCCTATACTCTTGTCTCATTCGGTAAATACGATTGTCCGTTTCATATTGCACGTACGATATACCCCTGAGTATAAACAATAAGAAAATTCAAGCCTCAAAACATCAACACACAAACAATGCTGAACTTTACCTGCCCTTGTCGCCGCTTTGTCGTAAATGACAGGTTGCCTTTCCGCTCTATCTGTTATGGTCCTATATAGTAGCGGGGGTAACGTTAATCAGGGACGTCACGTGCGGAGTCGACCCATCCCAATAACAGCGACTATCTGGGACCGTCATTAGGTGAATCATTAACTTCATTATTCTGATTCCTACACTTAGGTTAGACGGGCATATCGTAGACTGCTCATACTGCAAGACCCAGCTTCAGATATAAATAAACAAACAAATAAACAAATAAATAAATAAATAAATAAATAAACTCTGATCATGCTAGTATGTTGAATTTGCCTGTAAGAACGAAAACTGCTGCCTAAACTATTATATGTGGGAGCGTTCACATAAACCTATCGCACAAGCTACATCAATCTAACTCAGCAGGATATTCTCCCTAAGTGCAATCACTTTAATCGGTTTAAATATCTGACATGCCTTCTTGAGTTGGATAATTAACTAATTAACTAGCTACTCGAGGAGTTGCGTCAGGAAATAAAGGATATTGCAACATTTTATCATCATCCAGAATCCCCAGAAGACGTTGGTAAGAAAATAAATACTGATGGCGGTGGAAGGATGACAGATACATCTCGGGTTCATTTAATTTATTGCACTTTGGTATTTTATCATTCTCGCTACTTCCAGGAAAGACTGTTGTAGCTACCCCTAGGCTAGAGCCTTATGTACCCTTGGAACGTATTACTATTCACGTAGACAGCATTATAGACCGAAGTACACAATGCGTAATTTGTTACATACCATAGAAGTAGACTTACGTTGATTACGTATAGAATACGGGTATGTTCTAATGCAGAGCGCCGTCAACAGAATCTTCAGTCCAAGTCTTAGTATACACATTTCAATTTAGTAGTTTAACTAAAAGTCACGCCCCAATCAAAGTGAGATACGCAGGGCCTCATATTTTCCATAAAGTAGGGTTATCATCTGATATTGTCAAGTTTTAGGTAAGAAGTTGGTAAGGGGATTCATTTGAAGATAATATATTCTTAATAAAGTACTATAATGTGAAGGAAAAGCAAAATAAGTAGGACTTATGTAAAATTTCGGCAGACAATGGAAGCGCGAGTGGTCACCTCTTAGGTTTGCCTCTCTGCTGAA